CCCACGTCAAAGCACCCTGTCAGCATCCACTGCGAATTAAAGTGTAGCCGCTTAATTTGACTTTAAGGAAGCCTTACCATCTAGCTATGTCCAGTTTGGCCGCCTGAATTGACTGCCGTAGCTTGAGAGATCAAATCGTTTTGGAGCGTTCGCTCGACTTGCTGGCGCCTTCGTAACGTTAGCAAATGTTATATAGGTATTAAATGTCATTAGTAACGTGTGAGAGGGCCCTTTTGCCGAATGGCGCTGCCACCTTTCTGGAGAATTGTGGCCTTGGGACGAATTGATGTTCTCTCAAAGGGTCACCTTTCCACAACCATCCAACAGCCAATCGATGCAGCAAGCTCTATCGTGCCTATACCAATGGATAGCAGAGTTAACCTTTTAGTTTCCAGTCGCTGACGTTTTCGGAGCAGTAGAACTTAAAATGTTTCTTTCAACGTTCCAGATAGCTTCTGAGTTGGAGTTATAGTCTTTTTTTGGCGGAACGAAAGCAAGCGTTCCATTATCGCCCGTATCTGCACATCTTTATCAATTGGCACAGAGCCCAAGTTGACTATTTCGACGTGTCACCTTTGCGATTTGAATGCGTTTCGTACATTTCAGAGTTATACTGATTTGGTTCACTACTTTGGGCATTTGAAGTTACAGCCAGCCCCATTTCACATAAAGCTTATAAGTAGGCCAGCTGACTTATGAAATAGCCAAATGCAAATCGATCTGTGAGTCTCCCAGAGCCAACTGTTTCAGAGGAAAGTTTGGCGGCATTGTTTGGAAATGTGCAGGTTAGGTTAGGTTGGATACGTTTGTCCTGCCGGCTTCATCCTTCATTGAACGGTGACACACGCAGGCCACCATGGTCCATTGTCGTACCCAAATAGAGTCTTCTTGCATTTTGTCGTTCTTAAGAATTACAGACAATTCGTCGTTCCAATAAAAGTCACAAAATCATAGATACCAGGCATACACTCAAGAAACAAATGCTGGAATTAATTTCGGAGGACGCAAGGCAGTGACATACATATATCAAAATTATTTATGCCCGGCAAAGTCATGCAGATGTAGTCCCAACATCTTGACATGCGTTCTCATCATGGCCTAAGACTGACGGCGGAGATCTAGTCGCACCAGTTGGAAGAGCCGGCTGAATCTTGATAACGCTGCTATAATAAAAGATACATTTTTTTCAGGAACCATAAAAGCAAGCAATAGTCATAATTTACTATAACTTAGCAATTTCCCTGACGTTGCCATCACGTGCAATATTACATTTTTACACCAAGTTCAAATGCAATTAAGCCTATCCTACAATTTTCCCCAACAACACTATGTATCTAATCAAACGAAAACGTTGGTGAAACTGGAAATGGTTAAAAAAAATCCACACCAGAAAAACCTCAAAAAATAAATTGCAATTTAGCCGCCGGCACCCACGAGCATATCCATCAAGCGTCACCACCAATACAGCCAGCTGTCATTTTTTTTTTGGTTATTGCTGTTTCTTTCGCTACTGCTGCTGTCCGTAGCACGCAGGCAAGTGAAAGGAAATTTGAATTTTTGCAAAATGAAAAATTTAGATACATTAATTATTTTAATAAAAAATACTTTGTATGAAATTGACGTGCAAAAACTTTTACGAGTAGAGGAAATAATTTTTAATGAAAATACATGC